TTGCCACTCCCAAGGTTTTTGGGGGGGGGGTCTATTTTCCTTTTTCAGAGGGATCCTTTTCCTCTTGTTGTTGGCACAGTCTTTGAAAACTGAGGACCCCGCAGGTTCAGCTTGCCATGGCTCCTAAGAATTATTATTCAGGGGCAGCCTTGTGTGTTTTGAAAGCAGTGAGGCGCCCACTAGGGAGACCTGCAGGGCTGATCCGGCACAGAGAAGGAGCAGCAGAACTGGGGGTCACCTTCCGTGTTGTGTGCTGCACCAGCAGACGCTGAATAAGGCCTGTCAGAAGGAATATGCCCTGAAAACGTCACGTAGCCTAGACAGCCGTGCAGCCAGCCGCCCCTTCCGGAAGTCCCCCCCCAAAAAAATGTTTTTGTGCCCACCACGTCCCTCTGTGCCCCTGCATCCCTTCTTCATCTTGGTCAAGATTACTTTTTCCTCCTCCTAGACAGAAAAAAAAAGTAACCCCAGAAATCCGACACATAAACCATCTGAAAGGCCAGCCTAGTTCAGGCTAGAGGATGGGACCTTTGCTTTATTTCCCTGGCTTTATTTATTGAATAATTTAAGTTAGGACTCCCGTATTATAGTGTACCAGCCTGGCTCTTTCACCAAAGAAGGCTAGCAAGGGTGTAAGGATGCTTGGCTGATGGCGTCATCCCTGGCTCCAGAGACCAGCGTTCCTCAAACCTTGAAAAATTGCCCAAAATGGAATCATTAGGTGGATCAAGAACGCATTCCCTGAATGACAGCAATGTGGCTTGGATTTTTATGGGTAATATTGAGCATTATATTTTATTAACCCTCCCTTTGATGAAATGGTAATTAAAAAATCCTTTCTCCTCTCATAAAAAAGGACCACATCTCGAAGCACGTATTCAGTAAATACTTGGTGCCTGCAACAGTTTTTAAGATATGGTGCTTTTTCATTAGCAGCACAACTTCCAGTAGCATTAGTAAATCTTATGAAAATGAAGAGATGAAGATATAATTGTAGGTAAAGAGCATCTTGAATATTTGCAAAATTCAACCAGCTGAATTTCAAGTCTGGATTCTAAAATTCAAATTTTGGCTAAAATTTAACATTACATTTTCAGCTACAAATTCTGATTTCCCTATCGCCCAGAGTTACAGTAATTTGGAAAATTAATTTCCGCTCTAAATTGAAGCTCCAGTAAACCCACAAATGCCTCTGTTCTGCTCCGAGGCAGGTTAGCATAAAAAAGAAAATTAAAGAGATATTGATACTGTTCTAACTTGTACCTTTTTTTTTTTTTTAGGTATTAACACATTAATAGCAAATAATGTTTATGAAACAGCTTATCCCCTACATGATGTAGGTATACACTTTTAATCCTAATTTTTATAAGAACTGAGTCCAGAATGAAAGTACTGTTGATATTTGTTTCACATTAAACTCAGCAGGATCCCGAATATTATTCTGGGGGAAAGGAAGTGGGTGTATTGGCTTCCAGGCACCTTCCCTTCTTGATTCCACTTTCAAGGACACAGAGCTTGCTGCTCCCTCAAATGTCCGTGTCCTGAAGATAAATATCTCAGTAAGAAGGATCTGATAGCAGAGAGTCTTCAGGCTCCCAAACTATCTGTCAGGGTTTACCCGCAGCACGAAGGTCTCCTTGCCTACTTCTCCAGGCTGAAAATATGGATGGTGGGGGCAGGATGGGAATCAAAAGCTGGTGTTTCTCAACACAGAGATGCCAGTTATGCCAATAACTGTCAGTCACCCAGCTTCAGGTCCAAAACATGCAGGGCAAATAGTTAATTAAAGCATGGGAGGGGCAGGAAAAAGAAGGGCTTGAATTAAATGTATAAAGAAGGAACTTACCTTCCTGTGGACAGGAAGGGCAGAGAAATATTGAAGTGGCTTCTTCCGAGTATGCAGTGAAGATTCTTCTTCAATTATGCTGTGAGTCTGAGCATGTTCAGCCCAGTTCTTGTCAGTGACGGGTGGGACAAGTCTCTCTCCAGAAGTACGAACTCTAAAAAGTTAGTGGTCTGAAGCGTAGAAGCCAAAGAGAAGGTGGTCCGTAGGACAGGCAGGATTAGGCCTTGCCCCCACAATCAACCAGGATTACCCTGGATTGCCAGTGAGAAAGGAAACACATCGGTCTGTACCATCACACACACCACAGGTGTGGGAAGACACCACCTTTATATAGTGTGACCTGCTAAGGGCCTTAAGTACCCTCTACTGTAAAAGCATCAAAGTGTTGGGAGAAACTTAAGATTTGCCATCAAATGCTACTTTTTAGGCCAGAGGGAGAGGTCTTCTCTCTCCCCACCCAACAAAGACAGAACAGAAATATTCTTCCCAGTCAATAGTAATTTGATATGATGGTGCTGCTACAGGCTCTGTTTATTTGATACGTTCTATAATTTGTTTCATCTCATTGACCCCATCACCAACCATCTTCAGAAAGTTTTCAGGGTAAAGCACGACAATGAAGGAGAGATTAGAAGGTGGGAAAAGGGATATGGGAAAATAGAGTTGTTAATACCACTTTTGGAAGTTTCTAAAGGAAACCATGAGCTTTATCAGTAAAATGCTTTGGAGAGTTAAGAAATCTGGGTGAGCACTTTCATTTTACAAGACAGAGAAAAATTAGACCTGATGGTTCTATTAGCAACGCGAGATAAGTTCTCATCTGAACTGCAGGCAAGTTACAGGTCTGGACTAAAGAGTAGATTCTATAGATTGTGTTTGGCTGTAGTATTAAAATGTGTCATTGCCTTTCCAGGGTGAATATGAAGGTGAAAGCAAGGAAATGAATGAAAGAAAGGTAAAATTTTGCAGCCTTATTTTGGTTGGTATGAAAGTCACACATATGGACTATTCATTAATGACGGCAAATAAGTTGTCCTTCAAAGACTTGTGGATAAACAAGACACAATCCAAGCTGAAGTTCTCCTGTTCCTCCAGTTAACTGATTTGGATAGGGATTGCACAAAAGGACTTTCCACTGGTTTGGAATCAGTGTGTTGTTCTTATTCTTATTCTTGTTTTTATTATTCTTATTCTTCCTTCTGGAGTGAAGAGAGAGGTTCTCAAATGGCTTGTGGAGATTGAACTCCTGGGCAAATAAAGCTGCTTCACTAGGTCAGACTGTAGTTCACCCAGTACTGTTTACTGCTTTGTCTCCAGTAGAGATAATTCCTCCAAACTTTGCATTTTCAAATCACATGGGAACCAACCTTAGTTATTCAAAATATGTGGCTTTGTGACATTTGTGATCCAGTCTGCCTTCTCTCATCCGTATACACATATGTAATACTGAAAAATCTACAGTGAGCCCATGAAAATAATGTATGTCTAAGTTCATTATATTGTTTTTTTACATTTATGGTGTTAAGAAATTTAGATATTAAGGACATGGTTTACAAAAGCTGTACATTGACCAAAATTTTAAACAAGAAGGCATATACTTGAAGAACGATGTCCTGGAATGCATACACATTTTAGTAAAAGTTTTGAAAAAATACAGGCACAAAACGGATTTATTTAAAACTTGAAAGATCTGCCAACATGTAAAACTGAGAAAACTCAGAACTGGCCACTTTATCCATCCCCATTGCTAGCCTTTCTTTGCCAATCTTCTTGATTCTGACCCCAGTCAAAGGTTGACAACCCTTTGATTACTGAATGTACGAAACTATAGTTAGCCTGGAAGGAAGCTTCAAAAGTTCACTGGGGTAAATCCGAGAGGAAATTCTGCTGCAGAAAAGGACCCTTTTCTCCATCACGAACTGTTACCCCCAAGCAGGGCTACAAAAATCCAGGTGGCCTCCAGCAGGCTGTAGCAAAAGCACACAGAGAACCCCCACCCTTTGCTGCCTCTAACGGTGGTCTGGATTTTTGCAGCCAGAGGAAAAGAGAAGGTGGTGTCTGCCCCCAAGGGGTGCAGAAAACCCACAAATGGCTAGAGTGGAGTCAAAGGCAGAGAGCCCCGGGCGAGGCCTGGGGAGGAGCACCTCTTCTGCAGGCGAAGGGAGGGCGGCGTGAGCTTCACGAAAGCGGTCCTCCGGATGACAAAATGCAAAAAGAGTCGCAGATCGGGAGGACTGGTTGGATGGAGCGATCGAGCGGTGGAGGGAGGCGTCTGTAAGTGCCTGGAAAAGAATTCAGGCTGCAAGTTGGGCTGCCCTTCTTTTTATCCTCTGGCGAAGTGTTAAGTATTAAAAACATAAAAGGTCCCTCCCCCTCGACATGCTGCAGGGATTGCTCACACATGTTCCTCTCGCGGGGCCGTTAAGACCTGACTGTAGAATTCCTGTGCAGAGGATCATCTGTTTTCTATCTGAACCTGAATAGTTTCAGTGTTTAATTTCCTGGACTGCCCAGATCAGATTTAAAGGGAAGAGAGACGTTTCTCGAAAGCTGTTTTCTGCAGGCCTCCCTTTCGCTGGTGGCCCTTTTAAGATACAGACGCAACTTTTGTCCCTGCCAGCAATGCGTGGCCCCCAGTCCAAGGTGGACAGAGATCATCTGGCTTGTATTACCTCGGAAAGGAAGGGCTGTTGATTAAGATTTATGGACCCGCTCGTCGGGCAAAAGGTAATCCTCATGAACCCTCTCCACGTTCTCATTGTGGAGAAAGCCCCTGTGATGGAAGTCAGTTGGGGCATCGTCACAAAGGAACATTATGTGCGGCTCATGCTCTCTCTACGATGGTTAGTTTCGCTGCCGAGACGCTTCCTTGAGCAAGGTCACAATCCTGCATCCACTTCCTTTAAAGTATATATCCTCATGAAGAAAAAAAAAAGGGAGGGGGGGAATCATGGATCTCTAATGTGCCAAACAAAAAAACCTAATTCCACATATATGCTCATGTCAAACAGTTAAGATATTAACATTTAAGTCAGTTTACTTCACAGGAAAAAATGAAGGGTAGAAACTTGCATATGAGGTCCCAATCTACAAGGTACCCTTCAGATGAGGCTCCCAGAGACAGAGGAGTTTCCCCAGCTCCAGAAAGCAAGGGGAGGCCTTCAGCAACCGCCCCCCGCTGCCAAACTGGAGAGCCACCCGTCCCTCAGGGCTGAATGAAAAATGCCTCTTGCAGAGGGAAGGTTGGAAATTCAACAGGAAGTGGAAATCAGACGCAGGAGACTGTCTTTGCCTTTGGTTAGGTTGTGAGATCCTAAGTAAGCATTTCGCTAGTGGAGGAATTCATGCAATGGCTTGATGATTTTTGTGGTATTTAGAAATCAGAAGTAGAAAGGATTGGCATCAGTTAAAGAAACATGATTGCGAATGCAGAAGATCAAAGCAGAACTTAAGTCATGGCGACCTTTTTTTATCAATGCTTGGCAGAACAGCTGTAATTAAAAAGGTGGAAGATTCTTCAGATTCTATCCCTGTTTCTTATGCTGCTTCATATTCTTTTCCTAGTTCCTTTGTTTCCTGTAGACTAAATAATTTTCTTTGTTTATACATCATTATAACAAACCTAATATCCATCTTGATTATTGAAGGGAAAATTTATCTCTACTGAATATTTCAAATGAGACAAATGCAATAATTTTTGTTTTATGCCCAGGAGATCTTAAAAGTTTGATAATATTTGAAGAATGTGCATGTCACCATTATTTAATACCAAAGGAACCCTTTAATATTAAAGAAACTGTTTGTATGAACCTAACCGTCTCTCTTGAAAGTTTTCAAATAATATGGGAAGAGGGCCTGGCACTGGGAGCTGATGAAAGGTGAATTTTGGACCTTTTTATCCTGTAAAATTCTCCTAAAATCTAATTTGGCAGATAATTAAGAGCAGACCATGAACATCATCCAGAGATGGTAGTGCATGTCTTTAAATTAAGTGATATTAAACAGTGTCCTTCTGCATAATGTTAACGGAGGTTGAAACAGAATTGTTACATTTTACCAATTAGTTATTTATTATTTGGTTAAACGTTTTTGAGGAAATCAGAAACGATACACAGCCATCTTTTAAAAGCTGCCACCTAGGAATTTTTGTTATTTTTGTTAACTAACAAATCCACTACAGCAAAGCACTGAAAAATGAATCTTTTTCTTTGGCTCGGTCTAAGATATCCCAGCATTTAGAAAATCCCTTTCACCAGACTTTGTTATCTCTCCTGAGTGCTCGTCTGAGCAGATAGGTAGGATATAGATCACATCAATAAGAAAGAAAGTATGAGAAACAGCTTGGAATAAAACTATTTCCCAGTTCTAAAGTGCTCCAAACTGTTCTGGACACATCCAGATCTCGCACGTGCGATTGTGTAGATGACAACTCAAAAAACGAGAGTTACCTGTAAGCAGCCTCTCCACTCTTCCTAACTCTTGCTAACGCTGGTTCGGTGCCATTATTCTGATTAATCACACGGCAGGACCGAAGCAGCCGGAATGACTCGGCGAGGGGGCCAGCACCGACGGTGCTACAAAGACGACGGACGACGATGGGCCAGAGAGAGAAAAAAGACAGCTGGGAGTTTTGTAACAGGGGCCCTTAGCCTTTGAATATCACGCCTCATCTTTTACAGCTTGTATTCCCATTCCAGGGATCTGTCAAATGCAGAGGGGATTCATCCAGGCTTATTACAATATTTAGATCCCGAGACCTAACAGGAAAAGAAAAAGTTTCAGGTCTGAGCTCACGTGTTTTGTGGCTTCATCCAGACTGAAATCAAGCGCTAATGACTCCCCTGTTGCTCCTTGGAGGTGCTTACTATGTACTGTGTACTTCGCAATCACTGTTTTTATTCGTTGGTTTTCCCTTCTTTCTCTCAGCTGTTGTATCGAGAGTGGGCACGATACGGAGCATTTTACAAGTTTCAGCCTATTGACCTCATAAGGTAAAACTTTCTTGGTTAATACAAGCTATCAGTGTTCCTTTCTATGATGTGCACACATAAAACTTCTGTGCATTAGTCTCATACATGGGCGTTGGGAGGTTGCCTCTCCTTTTCCATTATACGCTGTTGCACACTTTAGAGCAGTATCTCTTAACCAATAATGGAAACATGATGTTCCCCAACAGTGATTGAAGTTCTGGTTCAGGAACCCTCCTTGCTGGCTTCAACCCTCACAATAGGGATGTCCTTCGCTAACAATATCAAATTTTAAAGGAGTCCATCTTCACCAACATGGCCCAGTTTCTCCAAAACTGGATAAATATTGTTCCCTGCAGTCTCTAGTGTAACGGTAAGCTAACCTATGGAATTAGTATCTTCTTAGTAAGCTACCAATCGGTGGGAAAACTTTCAGGAAACACTGTTCCCACCACCACTGCTCTTATGACATTACAAACAAGCAGATGCCTGGGTCTACTCTCAGTGAAGACAATCATGACTTGCCAGCAGTGTAGACTAAGCCTGTGATCTAGGACATCTCCAGCATTTTATGCATTAGGTTCTCCCAGATGTCATCCCCATGGACTTGGTTTTAAAGAAATGGGCTTGGAAATCAAGAGGATTGAAAACAACAATGCTGAGAGAATGAAGTTATAAGGCTAAATTTTGGCTGTGCTAGCTCACTTGCTAAGCTTTGTCTCAGATAATACTTCTGCTTACCATGTGGCTGTATAACACAGATAATTATTTGCACATTATATGATTCATAGATGATCAAATATGTGAAGAGATGGAATGGGATAAAGGGAAGTAAACTGAATAGGTGATTCAGCAGCATTTGATGTGATTTCTTTTCTGAAGGCATTTCAAATTTCTTCCAACATATGCATCTCATTAAACACTGTTTCAGGTAGCCCCAGTTCATTATTTCCTCCTCTTCTCTTCTCTTCTCTTCTCTTCTCTTCTCTTCTCTTCTCTTCTCTTCTCTT